TCTTATATATATTTCGATGTGCCCCGTGTTGTCTATTATTTGTTGTTTAGTTTTGTATGTATTGTCTATCATTTGTTGTTTCGAAGTTATTGGTCTCTTTTTGGGCAATATATGACAACTATATGTTGAAAAACCTCGCCCGTAACTATAAATTATGTAATTCATTGACCGCTCCCGACATGTGTAACTTCAAGGCATATTTTAGCGGCGATCGATGTCTTTCAAAATTACTGCACTTTTCTTGTATCCCTGGTGCTTTTGACTGGAGAACCGTCGTACACAAGCATCGCACAAGTTGGCACTCCGAGGCGGGTTGGGAGCAAGAAGGTGAACTGTGGTTTATTTTTATCAATAGTACCGCTTAAGTCGACGCTAGGGGCCGTCTTGGCCTTGTTGTAGGGTATGAATGATTCGTTCATTGTTGAAGACCCTACATCAACTGTCAAGATGAAGAACAGGAATAAAAGCCCTGTTCATTGATAATTTTCTATGTTTTCTATGTATTGTGTGCGATTTTGTCCCATGTACATTTACTCCATATCCTTTCATTTTCTATTGTGAGTGCTCAGTTCTCCCCTTAACCCGGTACAGGGAAGTTACAGCACAACATAAGAACAAACTGTAAAATTCAGTTGAAAATGCCTTAATATCTCAATAAATAGGTACAGAGCACAAATAACCCAACTACTAGTAACATAAAATCAATAGACACAAATCACCGATATAAGAGTATCTACAGTTACTGAAAGCAAGTTCAAAGCGAATTACAACAAATGAATAATCATGTTTTACCAGACTAAAGTATCAATCAGTACACATCTAACTGATACCAAAATATAGTTTTTTAATGTTTGCAACAAACACTTTTATGTTTACATGTCAATTAAGTAACTAACTTTTTAAAGTGTGATAAACTGCTTTTGCATCAAAGCGAGTTAACTCTAACTATCAGGTAAACACTTGTTCAGACTTTTCTTTCAAACTCTGAAATATCATTTGTTAATATTTTTGTCTTTACATATTCAAAAAAGTTCTTGTCTTTTTTTTTCTCATTTTAGAAAAAAAAGATTGATAAAGCAATAAATTAAATCAAGCTGTGAGCAATCGTTACAATGGCGGTATCCTCTGTATAAAATAGGGGTTACAACTTTTGCATTTCTATTCAATACATCCCTTATCCAAAATTATTCAAAGACTGGAAAACCAAGCACCTCTAGCCTTTGTTAGTCTTGTGTATTTTTTTCAATTTTGGTTCATTTGTATGTTTCGGAGTTAAATGTGACGTCGATTTCACTGAACTAGTATACATTCGTGTTTAGGGAGCATCAGTAGCCCGCCTCCTGGTGTGGGATTATCTCGCTGCGTTGAAGATCCATGATTGGTAGTCTCCGGCCGTTTTACAAAACAATCTCAGTTGAAGAGAACCCCGAACATACCATTGTAAAAAAAAAACTAACAACAGACTACAAAACACTAGATAGACAGCCTAAGACTGAGCAACACTAACCTAGCCTTACCCAGGGGTGATCACAGCTGCTCCGGAAGGGTAGAAAGGGCTTTTCTGTGTGTGACATTCGTTGTGTTGCTTATGGCCATTACTTTGGTATCATTCGATAAAGTCATAATTGAAGAGAAGAAGAATATATGACTGTGCACGTGGTTACGACAATTAGACCATATTGGATCCGTGGTCATCTGTGACACGGTCAAACATGAAGGCGCTGTTAGAATGCCGCCTCATATGAATAGAGGAACACGTTGGCAAGAACAGGGACTCAGTTGATGTATATAGGTATACAGAGTGTCGGTTGAAAAAATATTTATTTTAGTAGTGTCCCAAACATTAGCAGGGTCCATGTTTATAACTGAACTTTGTGAAAAATTCTTACATTTGATATATTGATCGATTTTTTAAAACATTTCATGAAACAAATTAAAATACTACCATTCAATGACGTTAATGGCATTTAAGACATTGGTCACAATCCAATGCATGTCTTCAAGTGTTTTATAGAAAGAGATACTATACACATATAACCACAAGCAATAGAAACACAGTACACATTGTTGAATATCTTTAGAAACACGTCTTTTGTCTGGGTTGCTGTCTATTTGCCGAGTAATAAACTCGTTATAGATACATATATTAATTATTAACTTTCATCTCATTTAATACAATTCATATACTTTATGAATGGTAATATATACCAAAGTACTTGGAAAAACACCATCGATGGTCTTTTGAATCATGAGAATGTTTTATATACATGTTCTCAGTCTGGTAAATTCATTTAAAGTGAAATTAAAAACCAATCTGCTTAATTTATAAATAAACATTAAACGTATTCTTACACGTGCTTGCGCCGGTAACTATCTACTTATTAAATCTAAATTGACTCTTTGTTGCAGCACAATATTGAATTTTACATAATATATAACAACCGCAATGGTGCCCTAGTCATAGTTCTGCACGAAGCAAATAACCGTTTAATTTCCTCCCTGTTTTCAATGTCGCCGTAAGCGATGTTGTAATAAACAATTAGGTCAAAGTCAATCCTTGGGAAAGAGTGATAGATTCAAAATAACTCGACACATCTATATGTATAGTGTCGGTGGACGAGAACTTATTAACTGTTGCAAGAAACAACACATTAAGTCATGTAGATTTAATCATAAATTTCATTAAAAAATACTTCAGTTACATTCAACATACATCTATCATACTTATCTTAAATTTGAAATATTTTATTTGTCACAATAAAAATCTGAACAGAAATTGACACTTAAGGGGAAATTAACATTTGACTCAAAACTTTTGCCATTGCTAAAATATATAATATCGGAACTGTTTCTCTGCCAGCACCATTGCCTGAAAGATAAACTTTAAGATTGACAAATTTGATCTATTTTCAAAACTATATATTTGTAAATAACATAAAAATCCATGATGGCTTTATAATTTATGATTTTTAAAACCTACGATTTGTTCATGCTAGACGCTAGACAATAAGTGGTGAAATACAAACTCTGATTATATGTCTTTTGGATATAACTGAAAACCATACAATATCACTGAACTAGTATACATATTTGTTTTGGGGCCAGCTGAAGGACGCCTCCGGGTGCGGGAGTTTCTCGCTGCATTGAAGACCCATTGGTGGCCTTCGGCTGTTGTCTGCTCTATGGTCGGGTTGTTGTCTCTTTGACACATTCCCCATTTCCATTCTCAATTTTAATATTTGCATTGTTTTGTAATATATTAACAAGAAAACAAAAACAATCACGGCTATTATATTTCTTGGAATGATTGATATAAATACGCAAATGTATCTCCTTAATTTTCCCGAATATTAGTATGTAAAACAATTTCGGAGATTAGATTTGGAAAGTATTTGCACTTTAAAAAAAAATTGTGGAAAAGGTTGTCGTAATTCGTTTGACTATTAGATTAGTATAATACTCCATTTCACATTTGTTTGTATTTGTTATGAATTTTACCTCTTTCTAATGACAATACTGTAACAAGGACGGATTCAGGATGGTGCGTAGAGGGAGTGTCAAATGATTTTCCTCGAGGCTAGCACAAGTTATAGAATAGACACAATTAGATTATTATTACTGATTATTTTATGATACAATAAAACTTACATTGAGTAGGAGTAACTACAGGTGATGCTTCATATCCCATGTCGCACGTGCAATTCACGATACATGTGGCATGGACGACACATTGTCCTACTCCGCAAGCTTCATATGGTTTCTTTCCTGTAAATAAATGTAAATTTGGCAAAATGTGTTTTACAGTCAACCCTTTTTGAATTACGCTGTCAGTGAGAAAAATATTTTATCAAACCAAAAAGTACCAACTATACCAGATGATGTACATGCCTGTCAATGTCAATCTTTTATTACATATGAAGTGTTGTGTATTTTTTTTTAATTTCCAATCGTTTTAACCTATATATAGCTATGCTATCGAATAATACTGATTTTTTTTCAATAGCAATATTTTCAATTACTTAAAAGATATTATATATATATATATATATATTAACTTGAATGTCATCTGTATTGTATGTATTCAGTGGAGTAATATTGTTGATCGTCTCCACGTTTTTCGTTTTCTTATTTACTGCTATTGCGGACTTAACCATGGTTGGTCTAATCATGGAAGTACTATATTGTTAATATAATACTTCCATGGTCTAATTCAAATGGGACTTCTGTAATACACTTAGTATTCCGGATTGTAAATTGCATTTGCTTGGTCCAAATTAATGGAAAATATGTTTGAGAAGCAATGTTGTCAGAGGCACCCCACACGACTACGAAGCTTTTTAGTATTCTCGACTGCTGATTCGGGTTTCGCACGGTCGTTGGGTTCCTGTCTCATTGACGTATACCACACATCTTATTCTATTCATAATTCTTTTTGGCCTATTATTAGTGTGCTTAAAGTATTAGTCTATCTTACTGTCAAAGCAAGTCCCGCCACTTTCGTAATAGTTACTGTTACACAAACATTTGTATATCCCCAGACCATCGTTGAGACATGTCATGTTGGCATGTGAACATTGATCGGCTGCGGAATCTGTATTATCACATGTTTCATTAAATGCTATTCCTGTAATTTATACATGATATAAATTTCTTCATCTCAATATTCGACTGACATTTATAGATACAAATGAATATGCATGGACTAGTAAAAACATCTACTCGAGTTAAGGGCATACGATACAGGAGAGAACTTACGTAGATTTTTTCTTGAAATTTAGACACAAAAGAAATGTGAGATGCAATTTTGTCATATACAAAGGAAAACTATAACTTCATCACTAAGTTTTCAAGATAATAAAGAGGTTTTGTATGTGTGAGGGGAAATCAAAAACGTTCATACTGAATTCGATACCTTTTCCTAAACAAAACAATTCCGCATGTTTTGTTTTTGTTTTAATTGTTATTTTTTGTTTTTTTTTATTATTTATTTGGGGGGGGGGGGGGGGGGGGGGGGTAAGGAATTGTTCACACAGATAAAGCATTTATTGTTATAGTTGATTACATGAAAGTTAGATTAGATATAATTATCGCGAAAGTATGCAATTTTTGGTGATAGTGGAATTTCAGCCCACTAAATGTATACAGAAAACATTATACCATTGATTTTTTTTATTTGTCTAAGGCTTAGTGATCAACACTAGATTTTGAATTCCTCTGAAAATAATCAATAGTCATTTTCGTTTTTTGGTGATTTTAATTTCACACTAACCCTACCGATTGATGGCGTCAGTGTATCCGCGAATCATAGATGCCTTTTATTAGAAATGTCGTCAACGTGATCCAGACCCTTTTTTATATGCCTCTGGTTGTAATAAAAAGGGGCATTCAACTTCCTGAACATTTTTAAATGATACTAGTGAAGTGAAATCTGGTCTTGAAAATGAGATAGGTAATCTCAAATCGTTATTTTGCTAATTACTGTCTTTTCTTCCAAAATGTGTACATGTCACACCTCATATCTGTTCAGGTTTCCCGTGATAGCGAGAGTTGAAAGTTGCTCAAGATGTTTGTACATTGGTACATATATATAGAATGATTTGTTTGTTTACATAAATCAATTTGTCAAGTTTTATTTCTATCATACTATTATAAGAAAGGAAAAGAAATCATTGTTTAGAAAACAGTCACGTGATAAAAAATGTAGGTGTTCATAAATTAACGCAGACTTTTTGATGTGTATTTTTGTCGTGTTCATGTACAAATTATTTGACTTTTAGATAAAAAAAATAAATTGTTAATAGTATACAGTTGTTAAAAAAGTGTTTGTGTTTTCATGCTTAATGACGTCATACGCGAATTGCATAATATTTTGGTCGGATGCGTGGAACGTTTTCTTATTTGGCTTTACGTTTTCAGCAAAAACATGACTATCTGTGAAATGTTATAAGTTTTTTTTTAAACCGGGTTACACATTTGTGTTCCTCAAACCAAGAAGACACCGATGGGGTGTATTTCCACTAATATTTCGTCCTCAATATGCTTGAAATAATTGCCACTGGACGTGAAGCAAGCTATGATTAATCAAATCTACCAATATGTATAATTTATTATTTTTATATGATGTTCTTGTAAATTTCTTTCCACCATGAAAAAAAACATACTGAATTGGTGGTATCATTTTTTTCGATCTTGAATACAAGAGGCATTATGTAATATCTTGCGTGGTGTACAGAGACCAGTTTTATTTTCAAAATTATTGTCTTTGCATAAGCATTTGTATCCAGTTTCATTCCGGCATTCAGCTAGGGAATCTACACATTGGTCAGCCGATTCTCCACCTTCACATATTGCATTTAATACAATTTCTAGAAGAAATAAATGGAGAATAAATAAATGGACACAGATGATGCCCCGGCTTGCATATAACGTTATAAAGGGGCATAACTCGAGAACACGAAAAGTGACGCCACCCAAATTCGAACTTGATCTGTGTTTTGTTGTTATCAGCATTAATGTGTATAAGTTTCATAACATTTGGTTGAGGCAAAACTAATTTTGGGACGTACGTACAGTGACGGCGGGAGCATAAAAAAGAAACATGTACATACTATGCACATCATGCATTTAGATTTGTTACATTGAAGATGTGGGAGCCCAAAAGTTTTGACTTTGTCAGTCCATCTGTCTGTTTTGTAAAGGCAAAATTTCCAAAAGTATTAGAGGTAAAATTTCCAAAAGTATTAGTAGGACATCAATGAAATTAACACAGTTGTGCGTAATTCTGTAGATGTGTACTAGTATATTATTATTTTTTTGAAAATTAGTCAATTTATTTTGGGAAAAATTCAGTTTTTTGTTTAAATATCACAAATTTCGAGAAATACATTTTGTAAGCACAAAAAACTCCAAAATGTAAAATGGTGCGTAGTTGTTTGCATAATATGCACGGATTGATTATTTTTTGTTGTTGAAAGCCATTTTTCAATCACTGGCTATTTTATGGCGGCCAGTTTTGTCATTGGTAGAGAAATCCGGAGAGAAGCACCGACCTTGGACAAGAAGCTGCGCATCCTAGTCAATTACGATCGGAATCAAAGGCAGAAGTATTTTTTGCGGATTGAAAATTCATTTTTACATGTTGCTACGCATGCTTATCCCCTTCCCCGAAAAACAAATGGTCGTTCCCTAATACATGCGTGCATCTGTATTACTGATTGATATGTATAGGCTCTTTTCAGTTGTTACCATTCAAGTCATACTCAGATACATTTGTATTAAGAGATGCATGTAAATATGCAGTCCTGTACATATAAATGTAACATTAAGCACATTTTCAACACCCAACCATGCAAGTAAGTATCAAATACAGTCATGTTAATTGAAGTCTGGAGCTGACATGTGAGTAACTGATAGTAGTCCTTTGTTCATTTATGTTTATCATAGCCATTTTGTTTAGTTTCTTCTGTTACATTTTCTAACATCGGACTCGGACTTATTTTAAACTGATGTTTACTGTGCGTTTTGCTGTGTGGTTCTTTATTCCACATTGGCTTGAGGTATGGGGGACGGTTGAGATCTCACAAAACATGCTTAACCCTGCTGCATTGTTGCGCCTGTCCCAAGTCAGGAATCTCTGGCCTTTGTTAGTCTTGTGTGTTTTTCAAATGTTGGTTCATTTGTATGTCTCAGTTAAGTGTGGCGTTCCTTTCACTTAAACTACAAAAATGTAGTATACATAATTGTTTTGGGGCCGGCTTGATCAAGAAGTAAACCAATCTACCAATATGTATTATTTATTATTTTTAGATGGTTTTCTTGTCAATGCCCAAATGATTTATTGACTTATCTTAGTCAATAAAGATCGGATTCGAGGGCAGTATGATTTGTTGGCGGATTCAATATTCGTTTTTTACATGTTGCTACGCATGCTTATCCTCCCTCTCTGAAAATCAAATAGTCGTTCCCTAATACATTTGTGCATCTGTAGGAATGATTGATATGTATAGGTTCTTTCCGGTTGTTCCCATTCATGTCATACTCAGATACATGTGTATTAAGAGATGCATGTAAATATGCAATCCTGTACATATACATGTAAACTTATTATAACATCAATATAAAAAAGAAGATGTGGTATGATTGCCAATGAGACAACTCTCCACAAGAGATGCACATTTTAAACACCCGACCAAGCTGGTAAGTGTGAAATACAGTCAGCCTAATCGAAGTCTGGAGTTGATCATGTCAGTAACTACTAGTAGTCCTTTGTTAAAAAAAATAAAAACAACACGTTATCAATTTCATTCCGAAAAAGAGAGGAGAAGGATACCAAAGGGACATGCAAACTCATAATTCGAAAATAAACGGAAAACGCCATGGCTAAAAAAGAAAAAGACAGAGATAAAGAGGTTTTTGGTATGTGTAAGGGGAAAACAAAAACGTTCACATCGAATTCGATACCCTTTCCTAAACAAAACAATTCCGCATGTTTTTGTTTTGTTTTTATTGTAATTTTTTGTTTTTTTTATTATTTTTTTTGGGGGGGAGAAGGGGGGGGGGGGGGGGTGGGGGGTTGGTAAGGCATTGTTCACACAAATAAAGCATTTATTGTTATAGTTGATTAGATGAAAGTTAAATTAGATATAATTATCGCGAAAGTATGCAATTTTTGGTGATAGTGGAATTTCAGCCCACTAAATGTATACAGAAAACATTATACCATTGATTTTTTTTATTTGTCTAACTTAAAGGCTTAGTGATCAACACTAGATTTTGAATTCCTTTGAAAATAATCAATTATAGTCATTTTCGTTTGTTGGTGCTTTTAATTTCACACTAACCCTACCGATTGATGGCGTCAGTGTATCCGCGAATCATAGATGCCTTTTATTAGAAATGTCGTCAACGCGATCCAGACCCGTTTTTATATGCCTCTGGCTGTAATAAAAAGGATCATTCAACTTCATGAACATTTTAAATGATACTAGTGAAGTGAAATCTGGTCTTGAAAATGAGATAGGTAATCTCAACTCGTTATTTTGCTAATTACTGTCTTTTCTTCCAAAATGTGTACATGTCACACCTCATATCTGTTCAGGTTTCCCGTGATAGCGAGAGTTGAAAGTTGCTCAAGATGTTTATACATTGGTACATATATATAGAATGATTTGTTTGTTTACATAAATCAATTTTTCAAATTTTATTTCTATCATACTATTATAAGAAAGGAAAAAAAAACATTGTTTAGAAAACAGTCACGTGATAAAAAATGTAGGTGTTCATAAATTAACGCAGACGTTTTGATGTGTATTTTTGTCGTATTCATGTATAAATTATTTGACTTTTAGATAAAAAAAAAAAAATTGTCAATAGGATACAGTTGTTAATAAAGGCAACAACGCAGTGTTTGTGTTTTCATGCTTAATGACGTAATACGCGAATTGCATAATATTTTGGTCGGATGCGTGGAACGTTTTCCTATTTGGCTTTACGTTTTCAGCAAAACATGACTATCTGTGAAATGTTATAAGTTTTTTTTTTTAAACCGGGTTACACATTTGTGTCCCTCAAACCAAGAAGACAACGATGGGGTGTATTTCCACTAATATTTCGTCCTCAATATGCTTGAAATAATTGCCATTGGACGTGAAGCAAGCTATGATTAACCAAATCTACCAATATGTATAATTTATTATTTTTATATGATGTTCTTGTAAATTTCTTTCCACCATGAAAAAAAAATACATACTGAATTAGTGGTATCATTTTTTTCCATCTTGAATACAAGAGGCATTATGTAATATCTTACGTGGTGCACAGAGACCAGTTTTATCTTTAAAATTATTGTCTTTGCATAAGCATTTGTATCCAGTTTCATTCCGGCATTCTGCTAGGGAATCTACACATTGGTCAGCCGATTCTCCAACTTCACATATTGCATTTAATACAATTTCTAGAACAAATAAATGGAGAAGAAATAAATGGACACAGATGATGCCCCCGCTTGCATATAACCTTATAAAGGGGCATAACTCGAGAACACTAAAGGTGACGCCACCCAAATTCGAACTTGATCTGTGTTTTGTTGTTATCAGCATTAATGTATAAGTTTCATAACATTTGGTTGAGGCAAAACTAATTTTGGGACGTACGTACAGTGACGGCGGGAGCATAAAAAAGAAACATGTACAAATGTACATACTATGCACATCATGCATTTAGATTTGTTAGGTCTTACATTGAAGATGTGGGAGCCCAAAATTTTTTTGACTTTGTCAGTCCATCTGTCTGTTTTGTAAAATCAAAATTTCCAAAAGTATTAGTAGGACATCAATGAAATTAACTCAGTTGTGCGTAATTCTGTAGATATGCATATTATTTTTTTTTTGAAAATTAGTCAATTTATTTTGGGAAAAATTCTGTTTTTTGTTTAAATATTCACAAATTTCGAGAAATACATTTTGTAAGCACAAAAAACTCCAAAATGTAAAATGTTGCGTAGTTGTTTGCATAGTATGCACGGATTGATTATTTTTTGTTGTTGAAAGCCACTTTCAATCACTGGCTATTTTATGGCGGCCAGTTTGTTTCATTGGTAGAAGAATCCGGAGAGAAGCACCGACCTTGGGCAAGAAGCTGCGCATCCTAGTCAATTGCGATCGGAATCGAAGGCAGAAGGATTTTTTGCGGATTGAATATTCATTTTTTACTTGTTGCTACGCATGCTTATCCCCTTCCTCGAAAACCAAATGGTCGTTCCCTAATACATGTGTGCATCTGTATTACTGATTGATATGTATAGGCTCTTTTCGGTTGTTACCATTCAAGTCATACTCAGATACATGTGTATTAAGAGATGCATGTAAGTATGCAGTCCTGAGCATATAAATGTAACATTAAGCACATTTTCAACACCCAACCAAGCAGGTAAGTATCAAATACAGTCATGTTACTTGAAGTCTGGAGCTGACATGTGAGTAACTGCTAGTAGTCCTTTGTTCATTTATGTTTATCATTGTCATTTTGTTTAGTTTCTTCTGTTACATTTTCTAACATCGGACTCGGACTTATTTCGGACTGATGTTTACTGTGCATTTTGCTGTGTGATTCTTTATTCCACATTGGCTTGAGGTATGGGGGACGGTTGACATCTAAAAAACCATGCTTAACTCCGCTGCATTGTGGCGCTTGTCCCAAGTCAGGAACCTCTTGTCGTTGTTAGTCTTGTGTGTTTATCAAATTTTGGTTCATTTGTATGTCTTAGTTAAGACTTAAGTGTGGCGTTCCTTTCGCTGAAACTACAAAAATGTAGTATTTTGGGGCAAGCTTGAGCAAGAAGTAAACAAATCTACCAATATGTATTATTTATTATTTTTATATGATTGTGTAGTCAATGCCCAAATAATTTATATACTTACATGTATCTTAGTCAATAAAGATCGGATTCGAGGGCAGGATGATTTTTTGGCGGATTCAATATTCGTTTTTTACATGTTGCTACGCATGCTTATCCTCCCTCCCTGAAAATCAAATAGTCGTTCCCTAATACATTTGTGCATCTGTAGGAATGATTGATATGTATAGGTTCTTTCCGGTTGTTCCCATTCATGTCATACTCAGATACATGTGTATTAAGAGATGCATGTAAATATGCAATCCTGTACATATACATGTAAACTTATTATAACATCAATATAAAAAAGAAGATGTGGTATGATTGCCAATGAGACAACTCTCCACAAGAGATGCACATTTTAAACACCCGACCAAGCTGGTAGGTGTGAAATACAGTCAGCCTAATCGAAGTCTGGTGCTGATCATGTCAGTACCTGCTAGTAGTCCTTTGTTAAAAAAATAAAAACAACACGTTATCAATTTCATTCCGAAAAAGAGAGGAGAAGGATACCAAAGGGACATGCAAACTCATAATTCGAAAATAAACGGAAAACGCCATGGCTAAAAAAGAAAAAGACAGAGATAAAGAGGTTTTTGGTATGTGTAAGGGGAAAACAAAAACGTTCACATCGAATTCGATACCCTTTCCTAAACAAAACAATTCCGCATGTTTTTGTTTTGTTTTTATTGTTATTTTTTGTTTTTTTTATTATTTTTTTTGGGGGGAGAAGGGGGGGGGGGTGGGGGGTTGGTAAGGCATTGTTCACACAAATAAAGCATTTATTGTTATAGTTGATTAGATGAAAGTTAAATTAGATATAATTATCGCGAAAGTATGCAATTTTTGGTGATAGTGGAATTTCAGCCCACTAAATGTATACAGAAAACATTATACCATTGATTTTTTTTATTTGTCTAACTTAAAGGCTTAGTGATCAACACTAGATTTTGAATTCCTTTGAAAATAATCAATTATAGTCATTTTCGTTTGTTGGTGCTTTTAATTTCACACTAACCCTACCGATTGATGGCGTCAGTGTATCTGCGAATCATAGATGCCTTTTATTAGAAATGTCGTCAACGCGATCCAGACCCGTTTTTATATGCCTCTGGCTGTAATAAAAAGGATCATTCAACTTCATGAACATTTTAAATGATACTAGTGAAGTGAAATCTGGTCTTGAAAATGAGATAGGTAATCTCAACTCGTTATTTTGCTAATTACTGTCTTTTCTTCCAAAATGTGTACATGTCACACCTCATATCTGTTCAGGTTTCCCGTGATAGCGAGAGTTGAAAGTTGCTCAAGATGTTTATACATTGGTACATATATATAGAATGATTTGTTTGTTTACATAAATCAATTTTTCAAATTTTATTTCTATCATACTATTATAAGAAAGGAAAAAAAAACATTGTTTAGAAAACAGTCACGTGATAAAAAATGTAGGTGTTCATAAATTAACGCAGACGTTTTGATGTGTATTTTTGTCGTATTCATGTATAAATTATTTGACTTTTAGATAAAAAAAAAAAAAATTGTCAATAGGATACAGTTGTTAATAAAGGCAACAACGCAGTGTTTGTGTTTTCATGCTTAATGACGTAATACGCGAATTGCATAATATTTTGGTCGGATGCGTGGAACGTTTTCCTATTTGGCTTTACGTTTTCAGCAAAACATGACTATCTGTGAAATGTTATAAGTTTTTTTTTTTAAACCGGGTTACACATTTGTGTCCCTCAAACCAAGAAGACAACGATGGGGTGTATTTCCACTAATATTTCGTCCTCAATATGCTTGAAATAATTGCCATTGGACGTGAAGCAAGCTATGATTAACCAAATCTACCAATATGTATAATTTATTATTTTTATATGATGTTCTTGTAAATTTCTTTCCACCATGAAAAAAAAAAAACATACTGAATTGGTGGTATCATTTTTTTCGATCTTGAATACAAGAGGCATTATGTAATATCTTACGTGGTGCACAGAGACCAGTTTTATTTTCAAAATTATTGTCTTTGCATAAGCATTTGTATCCAGTTTCATTCCGGCATTCTGCTAGGGAATCTACACATTGGTCAGCCGATTCTCCAACTTCACATACTGCATTTAATACAATTTCTAGAAGAAATAAATGGAGAATAAATAAATGGACACAGATGATGCCCCCGCTTGCATATAACCTTATAAAGGGGCATAACTCGAGAACACTAAAAGTGACGCCACCCAAATTCGAACGTGATCTGTGTTTTGTTGTTATCAGCATTAATGTGTATAAGTTTCATAACATTTAGTTGAGGCAAAACTAATTTTGGGACGTACGTACAGTGACGGCGGGAACATAAAAAAGAAACATGTACATACTATGCACATCATGCATTTAGATTTGTTAGGTCTTACATTGAAGATGTGGGAGCCCAAAAGTTTTGACTTTGTCAGTCCATCTGTCTGTTTTGTAAAGGCAAAATTTCCAAAAGTATTAGTAGGACATCAATGAAATTAACACAGTTGTGCGTAATTCTGTAGATGTGTATATTATTATTTTTTTGAAAATTAGTCAATTTATTTTGGGAAAAATTCAGTTTTTTGTTAAAATATCACAAATTTCGAGAAATACATTTTGTAAGCACAAAAAACTCCAAAATGTAAAATGTTGCGTAGTTGTTTGCATAATATGCACGGATTGATTATGTTTTGTTATTGAAAGCCACTTTCAATCACTGGCTATTTTAAGGCGGCCAGTTTTGTCATTGGTAGAGAAATCCGGAGAGAAGCACCGACCTTGGACAAGAAGCTGCGCATCCTAGTCAATTACGATCGGAATCAAAGGCAGAAGTATTTTTTGCGGATTGAATATTCATTTTTACATGTTGCTACGCATGCTTATCCCCTTCCCCGAAAAACAAATGGTCGTTCCCTAATACATGTGTGCATCTGTATTACTGATTGATATGTATAGGCTCAGTTGTTACCATTCAAGTCATACTCAGATACATTTGTATTAAGAGATGCATGTAAATATGCAGTCCTGTACATATAAATGTAACATTAAGCACATTTTCAACACCCAACCATGCAAGTAAGTATCAAATACAGTCATGTTAATTGAAGTCTGGAGCTGACATGTGAGTAACTGATAGTAGTCCATTGTTCATCTATGTTTATCATAGCCATTTTGTTTAGTTTCTTGTGTTACATTTTCTAACATCGGACTCGGACTTATTTTAAACTGATGTTTACTGTGCGTTCTGCTGTGTGGTTCTTCATTCCACATTGGCTTGAGGTATAGGGGACGATTGAGATCTCACAAAACATGCTTAACCCTGCTGCATTGTTGCGCTTGTCCCAAGTCAGGAATCTCTGGCCTTTGTTAGTCTTGTATGTTTATCAAATTTTGCTTCATTTGTATGTCTTAGTTAAGTGTGGCGTTCTTTTCACTTAAACTACAAAAATGTAGTAAACATAATTGTTTTGGGGCCGACTTGAGCAATAATTAAACCAATCTACCAATATGTATTATTTATTATTTTTAGATGATTTTCTTGTCGATGCCCAAATACTTTATTGACTTATCTTAGTCAAAAAAGATCGGATTCGAGGGCAGGATGATTTTTTGGCGGAATGAATATTCGTTTTTAACATGTTGCTACGCATGCTTATCCTCCCTCCACGAAAATCAAATGGTCGTTCCCTAATACATTTGTAAAATTGAGAACGGAGCTATATGACTGATTGATATGTATAGGTTCTTTCCGATACAGATACATATGTATTAAGAGATGCATGTAAATATGCAGTCCTATATATATACATGTAAACGTAACATCAAGCACATTTTAAACACCTGACCAAGCTGGTAAAATGAAATACAGTCAGATTAATTGAAGTCTGGAGCTGACATGTTAGTAACTGCTAGCAGTCCTTTGTTAAAAAAATGAAAACAACACGTTATAAATTTCATTCCGAAAAAGATAGGCGAAGGATACCAAAGGGACATTCAAACTCATAATTCGAAAATAAACGGAAAACGCCATGGCTAAAAAAGAAAAGACAAACAGACAAACAATAGTACACAAAACACAACATAGAAAACCAAAGACTGAGCAACACGAACCCCACCAAAAACTGGGGTGATCTCAGGTGCTCCGGTGTTAGAATAGGTAACAGATGCGCTTTTCTGGATTAACCTTCATCAGGAACGCTCAAAGCCGAATATTTGATAGCCAAGGATGCATAAAAAACGAAAAAATGAAGAGCTATATAACCAAAAGGACCTAAAAATTAGAGCCAAAGTCAACTTTGCCCGAGGGAGTTGAAACCTTAGTTTTCTCTTCTGTTACCTATTCTAACATCGGACTGTGCGTTTTCCTGTGTGTTTCTTTATTCCGTATTAGCTAGAGGTATAGGGGAGGGTTAAGATCTCACAAAACATGTTTTACCCCTCTGCATATTTGTGCCTGTCCGTAGTCAGAAACCTCTAGCCTTTATTAGTCTTGTGTATAAACTTAGATATAGGTTTATTTGTATCTTTCGGAGTTTAGTGTGGCGTCAATGTTGCTGAACTAGTATACATTATTGTTTAAAGGCTTGCTGAAAATCCACCTCCAGTGTCGGGGTTTTCTCGCTGCGTTGAAGACCCACTGTTGGCCTTGGGCTGTTTTCTGATCTCTGGTCGGGTTGTTATCTCTTTGGCACATTCCACGTTTCCATTCACTATTATATGTATATCATAGTCGTTGTTTTGAGATTTATACATTGCACAATTACCAGAAAAAATTAAGATTTCATTGAAACTTACTTGCAGCACATTCGGCACTATTTTTTCTAAATGTAGTACTGGAACAATTACAGTTCTTGTTACTGCCACATATGTTCCCTGTTTCTGTACAATTTGCACTAGTTGTACAATGTTGGCCATAAGTTGCTCCTGAAAAGTAATCGTACACATATGATTAAATATTAAATAATATGATAAGAACACTATTGTGTTGATTTTGGTATTGGTTGCAAATCTGAGATGTTTTCATATTCATATACTAGACTTCAAATTAAAGCTTGCCGTAACAATAGACAAATAGGATAAGAATGTTGAATTCAAAATGTTTTAACTGGGTTGTCGATGTGTTGTTGGGTTATTGCCTCGTAGGCGTACATGTATGAGGGTCATGATGGCGGGTTCTTAATTTATGTATTCTTTAAATTTTAAGGTCATTTTTCTTTATCTTTAATAAGAATGCTTATTCTGTAAAATTTTCATGCAAATGGTTTAACTATCAAAATTGTCTGTTTTATACACTATAGATGATTTCTTTATTCTGTACATCGTTCATTTCTGAATTTCATTACTCAGTTCTTTTATTTTCCACTGTTATTCTTTTCTTTCACCCCTTTATTCTCTTTTCTTTAAATTGTTTCTATTTTATCTCTATTCATTATTTATTTTGGCCATTAAGTCCATTCTGTAAACCCCATCCAGACCCTCGTATATACCTTATATCTTCTCCTACAATCATAAAGTTTGCATTAAGTCCTACACATACTATTGCGTTTTCCGAGAATAAATTGCAAACACTTCAGTAACATGTAAATGTATATAATGAATGCACATTTCACGGAAAAGTTTAATAAATAAATAATTTGAATATCGTATTTAAATGTTTTGTTATATATTTTCCTTTCCTTTTATTTACATCATAGAAATGTAATTCCTTATGAATATTACTACCATACCTTCAACTGATAATGTACAAAAAATTGTAATCAATATCCATACACCTGTAACTTTAACTTTTAAGTGGTCCTGTGAATAAGATTGAAATCACGAAAAAAGGTATTATAGCAAATGATATGTTGTCTATTTTAAAAATTACAATGGTGTCTTTAATTCAAACAAAAAGCTGTTGTTGCATGCATTTTTATTAATAACAATAATGCTTTATTATACATTCATGGCAAATCCAACATAAAGGCAGGGACATAATACCACACCTCCGCCCACCTTGTGCGATCGCCCGTCTGTTTGTAAAGCATGCATTTTTTGTTTACTTGGTTCTAATGAACAACCAAAGACAAGGACGTAATATACAGCCAGCAGCTTCACTGAAGTGAGTTGTAACACGTGGCCACTTTCTGTCGGAAACTAACTGTCTCTTCCCGATTCTTCACAGTTTTTAAAAATATTTTCAATAAAAACAAACACTTTTCGTCACATTTTTATTAATAGAACATAATAACTTCATATATGGTCAGGAGCTTAAAGATGTTAAGGTGTAACGTTTGAGCTTTTCTAAAATTTCAGACACCTAAATGTATATATGCTTTTCCAAAATTACGAGTGGGAATATGCCTAGCTAACAACTCTTTCAACTGCGTGTTATATTCATAAATAGTGTTTATAGACATGGTTTGGCAATATTCCATTTTAATCGATTGGCTTATTTGAGATGTGGTGAGACAAAAATGAAAGTACTTTTCATGATAACTTCCAGGATATAATACATGGCAGGAGCGAAAAAAAAACATTTTCCCCCTTTTGCTAGAAAAATTCAGTAATTTAAGTGTTCATAAATTTTTATAATTCATTCTTCCTATTATATTGGTTAGACGTATAATTTTGTTTTTGCCCTTTTATATGAGTTACACATCGTACACAAGGAGTGGAACTTGCAGTTAGAGGATTATGCTACTGTATTTTGGTCATCTTGAGAAGTCCATGTATAGACTATCTCCTATGAGGAAAAGAAAAAGTCGATGAGAAGAGAAGCACAATTGGCTAGAAATCCCCGCTACAGACGAGTTTTTGTTCAGTTCACGTAGACATACTTTTACAAAATGTGGGGCTTTGAACATGAAAAATTGATAGAAAATACTTTTCTCGCTTGAATTCCTTTTCATTTATAATTTCGGGGCTATTATATCTTGCTTATACGGTATGGGTTTTGTTCATTTTGAAGAACTAAAATTGCTAACTGCTGCGATATCTGATCTCATCTTGGATGTGTTGAATAAGTTATCTGATTGGCAATCTCACCACATCTTCCTATTTTTAGTTGTCTTAATTGATATGTCTTTGAGCTCTATGATTAATGAACTGTTGTCTTTCTTATATTGACAGAGTACTTCGTGGTATAGTAAGTCCTTTATTTGCGCTTCTCATCTGGTTTCCGAAACTTTATTCTTTATTTAACAGTTTGAAAGCGGCATACCGACACTATGGTTACACAACATCCCCTTTTATTCATATAGATATGTTTATATTTATAGCTCACCTTTTCAACTCAATTTATTTGAAAAAAGAAAAATGTTCTCTCTTCGTTTTTTAGTATGAAATAACTTGATTTAATCTGCATCTTACTTGACATAAAATACAAATAACATGCATGCAAACGTAAAATTAAGATTTTATGCGATAGCATGCATGTTAAGGTAACAATGAGACGACTGTCATTTAATAAGCCAATAAACGATTTATGTAAAATAATCAACATGTGCCTCTGAATAATTTTGGTGTTACTCTATAAAGGTTGTTGTTTTATAGAGGGATGGGCGTTGATTTCAAGCTTAAAATTAAAAAAATTTAAACAAACTACCCTTTAAATATCTTACACAATCACACTATAATATATTTTATCTAAAAGAACAGGCAATGTTTAAAATACTGAAATGTTGATATTTTTAGTTAAGGGGAAACATTTTGTAAAATAATTTTTTTTATGCACGCCAGAAGCAACCACAAGCGGTTGGTGCATATTCCTACCCTCTATTGATTTTTTAATGAATATTTAAAAAAAAATGTTCTTTAAACTTTTTTTTCTCTTTTAAGGGCACACGATACAGTTTAAAAATTTGATCCCACGGTGAATTTTTTTACGAAAGTTTGCATACAAGCTATTTATCACCTAGGCAATTCAAAAATGTAATAAAAATATACCTTCATGTGCTACTTTTAGAGAAAATTGGGATCGAAATTTTAGACATTTACTGGACATTTCGGTTTCTGGACATTTCTGTCCTTTTAAAAATCATACCTAACTTTTTTATTTCAAAAGATAAACGCAAGCGGATTTTTTTAAAAACATTTGGATTATCTTCTCTACATAAGTGTGTTTTGAATTTGTGTAAAAATCCTATGGAAATAGCTCATTTTATCACATTTTCATGATTTTAGTATATTTATCTAATTTAAAAAAATTTCATCGGTGAAAAGTTCTTAAAAATTGGCACACATAATCTTCATACATAATCAATCCAAGTGTCATATCTAAAAAGAGGGGTTTATGAACTCGTTTTAAAGTTATATAAGTCTGAATGATAAAAATCAGTCGAAAAATGCATCTTTTCCCGATATGTCACAGTTTGACGTCGCGAAAATAACATTTTACGTTAGCAACGTCATAAACTCCCCTGTAACTGTATCGTATGCCCTTAATGTTTCTTGCTGTAAAACTTATCCATACAATATTATAAGTAATGCCATCACGTATACACTTCTGTTATTGTAACAATCTATGGATACGAGCAAAAACACGATAAAAGACAGGAAAATGTCTACCCTATCCAACATGGTGTTTACCCTGATTTTCAAGTGGTAGTCGATATTCCTGTCATTCTCACCAGTCGACATGCATGCACTTTGCAGATCTTACCTATTGGATTTATTCTAAAAGATAATTCTCATTATGACTATTTAGGAAATATTTACCACTGGACATTAGGTAAGCAACAATAAATAAATGTAAATACAAACATTTGTAATGTCTCTTTACCATAGAATAGAAAAAACTAAGTATACTATTTAAAATCGTGAACGATAAGGTATTTTGGAATGCAGATTTTGTAAGGAAACCCAGAACATGTAAATATTAGTTATTTAATTGTTATAATACAGCTGTTCATTTTTTCTTAATTACATGTTAATTGTTATTACGCAAATATTTCCAATGCATTGAAAAGACAATTTTACAGCACCTGCTATCGTTGCTATTACAAAATATATATGTGAGATAAAAGTATAAAGATGCAAACAGAGGTTGGAATACTTTTTGGTGATGAGTTTTCAAGAGAAAGAAAATAATTATTGTAAGTGTGATATTATTGTTTAACTAAATTTACACGTGCAGTTCTAATTGTTTTAAAATCTCTACTTACCATACAGTCACCTTTTGAAGTACTTTTTCCTTATTCTATCGGCTAACCTTAAATATTGTGTATACCCGTTTGATTTATTAAAACGCAGGATATCATTTTATATTTGTTTTGTATAGCAACCAATTTAAATGCGCATGTGTATACGTAATATTTGCAAGTTGGCATGCATACCATAATAATACATCCTATAGAATTGAAAAGTATGTTATAATAATATAAGTATATATGCAACACGATCAGATCAAATGTCTAGAGGAGTATAAATGTAAAAATAAGCATATTACATTTAATACACAAATTACGTAATACACACACTGATCATAGTAACTAGTGCAAGGGGGGATACTGGGGTGAAAAAAGGGGGAATTTCGACTACCACAGGAGAATTATGGTTTGTTCGATAGGGAAGAAATGGTATGCAACAGACTATATACGTTCACCTGTAAGAGTTGTCGCAAGTGTTCCGTGAATTGCATTTGTCGAGCGCGTAGCCCGAACCACTTACACGAGGCATCAGATTTGAAGTCCACCATTCCGATCGAACGTTAATTACAGTACTACGAATTACGTACACCCTTTTTTTACATGACTATTTTTTTTTATTATTTAAGAATGGAGAAGTCCATGTGACGATATAGCAGCAGTTTCCCTTTTGGAAAACGAAGATTTATACTATAAATGGTAAATGTTGTATGGAGGAATTAATGGTAGGAAAATTTTGATGAAAAACCTAAATCGTAGCTGATTATGTTTATCGCAATGCTTTCTACTGACTCATGTATCATCTTTTCTTAACTTTGTGTGTGTATTTTAGGTTTTGGTGACACTAAAGCCTGTTAATTTAGACATGTCAAGTTAACAAATTATGAAAGATTATTTAACATAAAGAGTCGCTGTGGTCTATGTGGTCAACAAAAATGCATCGATAAGTTTTATTTTCATTCTTAAATTATCCTTCCATCTGACCGCCACGATATAACTAGTAGTGCTGAATGGCATTAAACCAACAAGCTATTAATCAATCAATCTGTAAACACACTGTGTGTGATTGAGGCATAAAGAACCTTTGAAAGGACTCTTTTATGGGTCCCTAGGTGTCCTGTTGCAAGGTTTGAAGATTTAACGTCTCCCCTCATCCAAAATGGAGAGAAGTTACTAACAGGCAATGAAAACCCATAAGTAAAAAAAAACACAAATAAAATCATGACCAAAAGATATACGATAAAAATACAAACAAAAGTTTCACACGGAAGAATTTCGCTCCAGATTTTACTTACCCACCGTTTCATATCGTTCATTAATTGACCCTCGGATTCAGATTCCGCCGATGATTTCGGTTCGGGATACCCGGTGTGAGTTTCGTTTTATTAAAAATGTATTGAAATTTGAAATCCCTCAAACATGTTACGTTGTGAGTAATTTTAAAAGGTGCAAATCGTGTATGATTCAGATGGGAAAGGGAAAGGAGGAATGGTGTATAATGTATGGGGAATGGTGTATGGAGTATGGTATAATGGTGTAAGTGGGTAGTTTACATCATCCAAGAACTACACTACAGCAGTAACCCTTTATAAAGGAACGTAAAATGTATGATAGGAAACGCAAATCCTTGAATGCCGTATCATGATTGGTATTATATTCCCCATACGTACATGTAGGCGCTGCTGGAGGGTTGCAATAGAGACATGAAAATGTAACAATAGGAAAATGGAAACAGGTTTTACCGTGTTTGTAATTATCAATTAAATGAGGGGGGGGGGATGAAAATGAAATTGTATGTTCAGCTTGATAAATTGCTTTTATTGTATATAACAATGTTAAACATGTTGTTTCACATATTTTTCCATACATTATTATTATTGTTATTATTATTATTATTATTATTATTATTATTATTATTATTATTATTATATGACAATTATTAATGTTTAAATTTACTAACCATTATCAGCCTTTTTTCAATGTTTAAATTCATATTATTGCAAATCTAATCAGGTTAACAATTCACCTAGCTGTTAACCTTTTCAGCATGTCTGACACAATATATTTGTACAGTGTGGTACATAAAATTTCAGTGGTCATGTTTGTAGACTGTGTATCAAATTTGTTGTCTATAAAATTCAGATTAGGGATGAAATGGAGACGAAAGTATGAGCTATTATTTTGATTACCTTGAGAGACATTGGTGTATGGCAGATATTAGATGGTCTCTATTTAAGACTAATATTTTTTGGCGGCGTTTTTTGTGTTATGTATTTCTAAAGATAAATTGTAATTTCGAAAAAGAATAAGAAAGCGTAAACAAACTGTTAACTATTTTCAAATTTAATTTTGCAAGGAAACATTGTAATGATAACTTAAATTTAGGATAATTTAAAGGCAGCTCTTGTTTGATAGTTCAGTCCGCTCAATGTTGTGAATTATCTGCCTATTTATTTTGAAAAAAAGTTAGACTTTAACACAAACAAACTCTAATTTTAATGACTTGTACGATAATGATTCCGTAAACGATAATATAAAAGGGGGGATGCAGAGTGCATGTCCGTCAATCAGCGATCCAACAAAACCAAAAACCAAAAGACAGACATGTTTAGAGATCAAACTAAAATACGATTGGCATTTTAGTACAAAGATATTTTATTAAAATTTTACTAGAAATTATTTGGATTTATTCTAAATAGCAGTTATTTAGTCATGTGAAAAAAGATAAAGTGATAATAAATAGAAGAACAAAAAGCATACAAATTAAGCAGAAGGGGAAATAATTAAGAGAAGCTTTGTTTCTTGCTTGTCAAAAATGTCCCCTTTCGCGAATCGTTGATGCGCTAATATTGATTTATCATTAAAAAAATCCTCATATTGCAATTTTATTTGTCACTTGCATTACACTGATACTTCTAATATTCAGCTTAATATTGAAACTACGGTTTTAGACTGCATGGGGTTTTAGTTGTGTTCTTGTTGATTTTTCTCCTGTTTCTTTTTCTTTTTGGTGTTTTCTTAGGGTTAAACAGGATACATCAGCAAATCTGTTGTCGATCGAATACCAAAGACCTTATAGGATCTAAATAATAAAAACATTACCTGTGTCATTAGTTGGAACAGGAACTGTTTACCTTTCCGGATCATCTAAGTTCGACCAAGTTTTCAAAGGGAGTCATGTAGCCAAATCTGTGTTGTTTTGTGGTTTTGTGATTCCTTTTCCTTATTTGTTTATGGTGGAGTTATCTGTTATTTTACGACACGGATAATTTCCTTGACGTAATCGACTTATTGTGACTTTGAGATGAAGAACAGCAATTAAAGCGCTGTTCCTTTGCTTTTTTCTGTTTATGTTCTGATTTTGTGTCATGAATAGATACCCCATATCCTCTCTTTTCTTTTCACTTTCATCATCGGTGATAATGAGTTCCGGGATAGGGTAAAATTGTCACGATTCTAATAAAGAGCGATATGTAAAAATGTATTAAGTTATACTATCCATGTCATAATTTTCTACTATAGAATGCAAAACTAGCCGATGTTTGAGATACATAGATGGATGTAAGATGTTCAACGTACAGTGGCAAATATTATAATACATATCAGGATCACTTCATGTTAATATGATATGATTATGAACTCTACTTTGTACAAGACTGACACGCTGAGCCTTTAAAACAGTGTAAGTGGCTTACACAATTCGCCAGGAGAGCCGATCAGTATAATTGATATTTCCAAGAGGTATAACTCTTTTAAAAAAAGTTGATCGGCACTGATCTTCGAAATTGTAATAGACATTGCTGATATAAACATTTGATACAAGTTTGATAAAAATCAAATTGTACATGTGAGAGCGCTTACATTACCCGACAGACGGACGGGAGGACAGACACCCGGTATTTATTTGTCCCTCGCAAAGCGTCTTTTTTTGTATACCGAAATTACTCAAAACAGCGATGACGAGACTTATAGGATAAATGTATCTGACTCGTTTTAGAAAACAAGTTTCTTTTTCGTCCATGATTAGACAATCATGATGTTTCATGGAATATTAGACAAGGGCTCTATCTACTTATGTTCTAAACTGGTTTGTCCATTTGAATTTCTCCTCTCTAATCAACACATCCCTGAAATACAATAAACTTTGTGCACAGTTCGATTCGTTAAAAAGACAATTCTTTTTAATTTAAATCTAACATTGAATAAAGGTATACTGCACGCATGTACATGTATTTAATTATCTGCCCTTTATTGCATGTCAATATGTAAAACAAATTATAATGTTTCTTTGTAATACGTATTGATTACTGGTACATGTTCATTTCAAGATATTTAGGATGAAACATTTTATCCTGCAATTGAGTGTCGTATTATACAGATACAGCCCAGTAGATATCGCTAGGCTGTACCTGTATACTATACAGATATCGCTTTAAAGCTCCGCCCACTGCCGGACTACGTTTGTGTAATGCTGTTGACGAGTGTTGTATGAACCTTCGTCACCTCAGAATGTGTATTGCAGTCGCATTCCAATGACGTATGGCTTAACCTTATGTGAACTATAGATTAATTTACATTCTGTTTGTTTTCAAGCATTTTTTAAACAATATGAAATAAATACATTTTCTGCTAACAGACAAACATGAATAGCAGGATTAACTCCATTTTCTACGGCGCCAATCATCGAGTGAAACAATTGAATGTGTACATGTGTAACAGACAAAAACAACCATGCAACAATGTCAATTTTAGCATGTTCAGTGAATGTCAAGTTCAGTTAAAAATTTTGAAGCGTAAGACAAATCATACTCTTTTGTTTTAAATCGGACAATGTTTTGTTATTTATTTTAACTGTTGAAAGTAGTTGTTATGTTATAATAAGTAATTATTTACTTTGAGCGATGTACTATTGTTGACCATACGAGATTCTTTTCTGCGAACCCGTCTTCAGCTGAATGTGTGTGATTTTAATATTACTACGCGGGCCTCAAGGGATTTTAAATCGAAAATAAAGGCAATAAATGTGAGTTTTCTGTCTTTCAAAGCAAAAACAAAATACTAAATTAATTGCAGGATAAAGACAATAAAGACTGTTAGAATACTCGGCTCGAAACAGGAGTAATAGCTCGCTAAAGCTCGCATTACACCCGTTTCTCAGCCTCGTACAAATACAGCTGATATTTAAA